TGAAGGTCCACTTGATCTCTTCCCAGAAGTGTTATATTTTTATATGTATAGTTTTGTATGTCAAAAATATTTTAATAGTGCACTTAGACTTTTTCTTGAATAGTTTTCTCATAAAGCCATTGCTAGCAGGATTTTGTGGAACATTACTTCAGCTATAATGTGTTGAAGAAGCTTCCTTTTCTCAATCTGCTTTTTATTCACTCAACCCCAGGAGCTTTTGCTGTGTTGTAATGACAGCAGATGCAAGGTCTTCTTTACAGCTTTTGTTGGCAGTTGGGTTTTCTCTTTAGTCTTAAATCTGATACCATGCGCTCCAAGAGCTGGGGAGGAAAAGGTTGTTCAGCTAATGACAACTTTCTACATATTACTATTACTGCTGCAAATAGCCATAAAAACATTGTTGTTAGAGGTCTCCTAAATGCAAATTAAATTTTTCAGGCACAAAGTGAATCCATATTGACCTCAGCTTTGATATAAGGAAGGATACTGTCCTTCGTAGAAAAATGCTGATAATTATACTATGCTGATCACAAGACCAGTCCTCACTAAAATGATAACAGGGGTAGATTTTTCAAAGTCTCAAGATAAATCTACTTCTTAAAAAAATCTCATAGAAATCACCAGTAGAAAATAAATCACAGTGCACACAGATTTAAGAAAGATCTTAACAAAATTCTGCACATTTAAGATGATAGGTGCCATCCTAGGCAATGAAGGAACAGCTAATGTTATTACATATTCTCACTTTCTGTAAACTTTATTACAAAATTATTATTAAAAATAATAATAGTTGTTTTGCCTGGGATAAAATCGTATTAGTAGTTGCTTTGCTTTTAGCGTAGAAGTGCAATAACGTACCCCACCTGAAATACAGCCGCATAAAAGATCATGAAATTTAACCTAGTTTTTCTTCTTAATCTGTTTTATTGGCCTTCACAATTGATCTTTCTCAATTCACTTATGAAATAGAAGATACCACCTGTAAGCAGATGTGGAATCAGCTTGAGAAATGCATGCAGCAGAAAGCTGTATTGGGTCGTCTTCTTTTTTTTTTTTTTTTTTTTGGCAATGTTTGAAGAATACTTATTATAAACAACAAAATGCTCGGTCTTCAACTACCTGCTGGTTAAAGCTATATAAAAGCTGGTTAAAGCAACATGATAATCTGCTTTTTATAAAAAGACTCCTACTACTTTGCTTGCTTCTAAGCTGATAATGTAAATCAGTTTTTCTTAGGTTTATCTAACATAAACCATGAATTCTGCAAATGTGAGAACACAATTGTGTTTTAAAGAAAAATTTAAGGGATAGTACAGTCTCTTAATCAAAATTCTGAACACTCTAATCTATTGCTAATTTGAAAATTAACACTGTTCCTTTTTTTCTTGCTTCCTGTTGAGTTTAAAATAAGTTCTCTTAAAAAACGCTGAAGTCTTCTGATACAATTTGTTTCTAAAAGCCAACTTGACTTGTAGGTTTTGGTTTGGGTTTTATTAAATCCTTGAAATGCAGTTTATTGTATACATGTCTTGAAGACCTTAGCTGATGTATTTTTCTTGTATTTTGTTTTTCATCATAATTTCTCATCTTTCTCAGATGTATTATTTCGATCAGCCTTACTTTTGTATGTGTGTGTAACACATCAGAGTATCAATCTGCACATTTCTCTTCTCTTAGTCTTTGTAACATTTTTTTTTCAGTGAAAGGCCAAAGAGGTGGTCTATGCTTTTAATGAGAAAAACTAATTTTAAAAAGTTTAAACCTTTGTAAAATATGCAAAAAGAACCAGTGGAAAAAAAAAGAGGTCAGTGACATTCTGTTTCTACTTCACAAGCCTGTCATAACAAAACAGGCCAGCATGTGTTAACAGTTTCACACTACAGGCCACTAGGAGAAGCTGTTTGCAAAGTGGAGGGCTGGAAAGAATCAACATCCAGCCCAGTGTCCATCATATTGGATTCCCATTGGAACTGGTATGCTATTTTTTCCTCATGTGCACAGCTGTTCAGAAGATTCTTAATCCTACAATGTGTCAGGTGACCTCTGCAAATTATTACAAGTTCTAAGACTTCCAGATCTCACAATATATCAACAGGTTTTCTAGACTTTAAAGGTTTATGACAAGTAAATAAAACCAGTCTGTTTCAGGGAAAACCCTGAATCCACAATGTAATCAATCAGCTTCCCTAGAATAACTACCATGAGGACACTTACCTTGGATGACTTAGTAAAAGTTTATTTTAAAATTCTGTTCAATTAGTATTTTTATACCATTATTTAAAATTGCCTTATGGTCAAACAACTATTTTCCTCTTGGATTTACTAGCTCTAGCTCATGAGGTTTTTTATTTCATGCATATTTGGTATTAAAGTCTAGGTGAATTCAACCACTTGAGATTAAACCAGAGACAACATTACATCTGTGCTAGTGTTAGAATGTGATATAAGCAAACAAGACAGGCCAATTCAAATCCAGCTGACAAAGTGCTTAGAAAATGGAAAATTGATGTAAGTGAGAAAGAGAATACGACTTGGTTTTTGAGTATTCATTGTTTAGGTTTTCTCCTGGCTTTCTATTTCCAAAAGCAGCTGAGGACTATAAGGAGAAAAATGCAGAAGAAAGGATAATTTGTTCTTCTTTCACTTTCTTGGGAACATAATGTTAAACTTGTGCTGTGCAAAGACTTAGGATTACTCTTCTCAAGACAGTTCTTCACTTTTCTTGGCAACATTCTTGAAAGAGGGGTCCCAGTCTGCAATAGAAAGGTTGCATACTGGTTTTGAATTAAGAAATTCATTTCCAAATGTCCATCTTTACCTTTGGGATAGTAGAAAATACAATTTCATTGATGGTTTTAGTTGCAAGATTGTACTGGCATATTTCTGGATAACCAAATGCATGCATGATTCAGATTTTCCTGGCAAGCACGGAAATATATAAATAAAAATAACCATCTCAAAAAATTCTACTTCATCATTTTATCTTATCTTTAAAGCAATTAAAGGAAAAGATGTAGAAGCCAAAATGAGTGGGATCTTTGAAAACGTTGTTTATCTAGTTTTTCTAAAATAATCTCAGATTCTTTTTTCTGTGGATTCTTTTTTGATAGCAGTAGATAGACATTTCTAGAGTAGCAAAAAATGATCACCAGTAGCGTATGTGTCTGAGAATTGTATTGTGAAAATGCATTTTTATGCTCTGCTTGTTGCAATAGAGCTAATAGGAAAAACAAATAATAATCATGATGATTCAGAGTTTGTGCTGTATTGTAACACCATATTTTGAAAAGATCATTTTTCAGTGCAGTGCCATTTTTCTAACAGCTTTTTATGCACTCTTTTCTTTTTCTTCTGGAACATCTGGTTCTATCCAAACATTCACTGAAAATACATCTAACAGTTCTGAAAATTTTTGGCATTGTCTGCATGGTTGTTTCTGACTACATCCTGAGTGAAGTGACAAGTCCCGTGTATGCAGGGATCCTAGCCCTAGTGCAGGTTGACAGATATGACATGCTACTGGCTCACCTTTTTCACTTATTGTTATATGGACCCCTAGGTCTTTTCTGTCATATACATGACATGCTTCAGCGAGGTTGAATATGACAGAACTACTTTGTTTATCACTCCAGAGCACGATCTCTCCTGACAATGACATCAGACAGTGAAATTTACTTAAATTTGAGCCCATTCCATCTGTCAGAAGGCTGAGGTAAAGTATCCTGGCATCCATCAAAAAAAAGAAGATAAATTATTTGCTCCTTCGCATCAAATTTATCCAATAGTATATTGATGTGCCTGGTTACTGTATCTTCCCCATATCTGATTTTTATTGTTGTCTTCACAATAATTTAAAGAGTTCAGGGATTATTTTCACTTTGACTTGACAGATCACGAATGTAAATGATTTAAGGTGTGAAAGAATTGTTTATGTCACAACAAAGCAGCAAATTATCCTTTCCAGATTTAAGAATAGTGGAGAAAGTTAAAGTAACGGTTTAGCAAAAAAACAGTTTAGTGTGTCTTTTTACTGCAGTTCTCTTAGTCCTAAAAACAACGAGATAGTTTTGGATGTTCTGGAAGAAGTACAGGATTGATCCAGACTTCATATCACAGTAGTAAACTCAGGTGGGAAGCAGTGATGCTTTGTTATCCTGGATCTGGATGTTAAGTGTGTAACTGGAGGTTTTCAGACACTACCTTTTAAAGTAGTCAGCAGCGTGATCTGGGAAAGTTGTGATTTTAAATTGGAAGTAGTTTTTAGGAAATGTGTATTTCAATTATTTTTGACTGTGTTGTTATTTTATCACGAAGATGCTAATATTATTGGGGTAAGACTCTAAGGATGTGTTTAATGTACAAGGCTTATTAATTATTGGAACTTGAATTTGATGTTAAAAAATGCCAGTGGCTTTTTTTTTTTTTAACAATATTTTTTTTATTGCATCCTTTATGCCATATTTGTGTGGAAATCGTAGTTACGTACTGCTGCTTATGAATGTGGGGTGAGAGACCAAAAATCAATGCTCACTATAACTGTGGGAACTGTGAGCCTTCTCTGGCTTTTCTCACTGTGATTTGTCTCCTACCTGAACACTTTCAGCCATATTGTGCCTTTGAAAAAATTTCTGGAAGATTCAAGGAGTTAAAATTGACACAAGATTAGATTAGCTCCCCCTATTCTGCTAACAGTAGCAATTTTCTTGAGAAAGGATGCTATGTATTTGGGAGTGATTTAGGGGAAATACACGCTGCACTGTGTTTATATTGACTCTTAGCAGCAACCGAGGAATTGCATTTAAAAGTTCGGTTTGAAAAGCTAAGTTTTTTGTCTAGCTGTAATCTGTCCTTTAACTGTCTTCACAAGTTTATACATCAAGGCAGTGGGAAAGGGGAAAGCAGGATAGCACAAATTTTAACAGAATGTTTTGAAAATAAAAAGCTCTGTTCAAGGCAGAATCAGCATGATGTCAACAATTCTTAAATGTGTAATATTACAGGCCAGATGGAATTGGAACAGTATCTGTTGAAGAGAAAGAAAGGTTTGAAGAAATTAAGGACAGACTTTCTTCCCTTCTGGAAAACCAAATAAGCCATTTCAGGTAAGTGTAATTTATTCACTAGTACTAAGTTTTATCTGGCAGAATGTTCTCATCACTATGTTCAGTACTGATCTTGAACAGAGCGAAATTAAAACAGACTACCTGCAAAGAAGTTTTGATTCTGTTAAATACAAAATAATTGATTTGCACAAGTGATTGATCTAGAATTCATCTGAAAGTCCTGTGAGTTGAATTCCTGTATGGTAGAAAAGACCCTGAAAGAATGTAGGCCTGATTTTATTGGTCCTTTTGAACTTTAAGCTGTCTATAAATCTATCTAAGAAAATTGCCTGAGTAAAAAGGACTAGGTCATACCTCTGTGTGGATCAGTGCTGATCAGAAAAGGTGTATGAGCAGATAATACCTTTGGTATGTGGCAGCTAAACTTTTTTTTTCTGGATGTCTAATGTCATTTTCTGGGTTATATGATCTGCTTTCTGTAATCACCTAAGGTCTATCATTTTCAATAAAGAGTTTGGCAATGTAAGGACAGCTATACCAGTAGAAGAAGGAAAGGAGTATAAGAAAGAGGGCAAACTTAGCATGACATTTCCTTTTGTATCCTCCTAGCAATTGATAATTTGTAAACTTTGGCATAAAATTGGCATCTAGACCAACAAATCCATTAGTTTTTCATCATTAGCCAGCATCTGCCACCATTCTGCCAATCCAATCCTTTTATAGAATGTATTTATATACATTTTTTGTCTGTATCACCTTGAGACAATTTTATGACACAGTTTACATAGTGCTGTGTGAAACACCTTTCTTTTCTTTGGCAAGGTTTGCTATAAGTTTATTGGAAGCTTCTCTGGTGTGATGAGGTAAGTGTCTAGTATTCGCTGGTATCTGTCATGCAGATAACAAGGTTGTTTGGGAATTTTTTGAGCTGGGACAACACAGCAGTCTTCATTTGAGATTTCACCTCTGTATTAACCTAAAGAGAGCTAGGATTCTCCTTGAAGAGTATTCCCTTTGGAAGAAAAAGCAGTGTTCCTATCTTTTTCTCTGTCATAATTCATACGCCCCATCTTCCGTGGGATTAAATAACTCATGCCAAAGAAGCAATACAGAACAGTGTAAGACAGAGTGCTACCTACCGAGTTTATGCAAAGGCAGGAAGGAAGTATCAAAAAAGAACATCATCTGCAGGGAGAAGAAAAACTTGTTTCTGCTACATTCTCGTGATTGCTAACAATAAAAACAAAAGGGTATAGGAGTTTGTTGAAGACTTCTAGCCTAACTGGAATACTTATGAATATATTCTATCAAATTTTTCATAAAAACACAGTCATTGCCATTTCCAGTGAGCGTAAGTATTTTTTTTCTTGCACCTGGATGAGGTCTGTGAGAGTAGTTGGGGCCAAAAATATACTGAAGCAGGCTTCTGAATATGTACAGAAGAGAACAAGAAGGCTGGGCATCCTAGGAATGAGTGTTAGCCTTCTGGAAGCCATGTGCATGAGACTAATTACACAGTGTACAATAACATTTGAATAATTGAATTGGAACAAATAATAGTGAAGATCATCATGCCTGGTTACCTACATGGTAGAGGATGTTGATGAGCTTGGGCTATACCTGTGATTATGATATCTCTGCCTCATTCTTGCTGCTTCTAGAAGGAATTCAAACAGTGTTAAAAACCTTCAGCTTCCAGTTTTAGTATCTTTTGTGACCTTTGTAATTTTCACTGCTATCATCCTGGCTCCATGATGACCAAGAGGGAGCCTGCCTGTCCCGGGCAGGTAGTTCTCACTTAAATATTTTCCAGTTCTTGAGGTACTTGAACTTCTCCTTTCTCCTTTTCTACATTCTGAGACAGCAGATTCCTTCCTGCCTCTCCAGCATCAAATGTGGAAGGGCTGGTATTTCAGAGAAATCTGCTAAGGCTGTCTTGTATAAAGGCTTCTCTGAATAGTTCCTCCTATTTTACTGTGTTGGCGCATGAAGTGAGAGGAAGATTTTGGTGGTACAGCAGTAGAGGCTGAACCTTCCTGCCAATATTCCAATACATGTTGCTGCTGTGTGACAGATAGCAGCAGAGGGGTAGTCTGACAAAATGGTGCCTGACAGGGAAGTGTGAATGAAGCAAAGATGTGTCACTGAATTCTTCCATGTGGAAAAAATGGCACCCATTGGCATTCATTGATGCTTGCTGAATATTTAGAGACTGAACAATGGATGTGAACACAGTAAGATGGTAGATGGTGCTTTTCAGCATTGGCAGCAGCAACAGTGGGTTACCTCTTCTGGTGTCAAATTTTACAAGCATGGCACGCAAGCTCTTGTTTATCAGTGGCAAAAACATGGGTAATGTGGTGACTATGTTGAAGAATACTGCTCTGTAGCTGAGACTTTGCTCTGTGAAATAGTGCTATTGTGTTTGTATCAGTTGCAGTTTCCATGGAAGTAAGTCAGAGGCATTATTTTCAGAGCAACCTACGTACCTAACCTCTTGGCTGGCTGTGTGAATTTAGTCTTCCGAGTATTCCTTTTGCACTTCTGTATGTTGTTGGTACTAATGTAGAACATGAGTGCTGCTCCTTCTCAGTTCTCCGCTGAGTAACGTATACAAATATCTCCAGGGGACCATTACCTGTGTACCCAGTAAGAGGTTGTAGTGTTGGAGGAATACTGCTAAGTGTCTCTTTAGATGTCAGCTCTGACCACATCCCTTTCTCTAAGCCTCTTATCTTGAGAAAATGACTCTTCCCTATCAGAAGCTCCTTGCAGCAATTGCTCTCACAAGCTGGCTGCCAGTGTTGCACGCATACACACTGAGTAATCCCCACCCTGAGTGGGTCATCTGCATCTTCAACTTAAAATTGGGTGGATTTTGGAAACTTCTTATGTTATTTACATTGCAGAACTTAAATTGATTTGGAATATCAAGTATAAACAAGGAATGAGTGGCATTTATTCCTAAACTACTATTCTGGGTAAACAGAAATAAACCATGGGAGATACAATTCAAGGATTGTGGAAATACACTAAAGATAAAGGAGGAGTCAGAACCTCTAAGGATGACTTAAAGCCTAAGACTTTAAATCTGCTTTCCTAATTTGTTAGCAGGTTTCCAAGAGTTGTTAGCACTCCAGTAAGAAAGAAATAAAATGAGGCAAAGCAAATATTGAAATTCTCTCCAACTGAAAATCCTTTTTTGACCTCATTTACCAGCCTTTATTTTGGCTGACCAAAATGCATATCAAAAATTCACTAGTCTAAATCCTTTTATCGTTAGAAAATATTTTAATGTTGGAAAATATTAGAACATGAGGCCACGATTGAGTAATAAGAAAAAAATAATCTAAGCAAAGGAAAAAAAATCCTCTTTTCCAATTGGGGATATTATAGATTTTATAGACAGATTAGGAGACGTTACTATTGCCTGAACTCTGTAGTCTCATTGAGCTGATCTGTTGGATCATTCAGCAGACTAAAATTAAAATTAAAAACAAAACTATGGATGGGATTGCATTTCTACTTTACATAGTGTTGAATGTGGAGACAGAATAGCTGAAAAAAATTACAGTAACGGAAGATGCTTCCCTGAGGTATTTATAACATAATAGGAAATATTATGGATTATCTGCAGGCATCTTTCTTCTTATATACACATAAAACTTAAGTATCAGGCATCTTTTTTTTTTTTTTTCCTAGGAAGATGACAAGCTCATCAGAGACCATTAAATATTTTTCATAGTTGAGAAAGTGCAAATAATGCTTTTTGCCTTTTGTTTTTGTTTTTGTTTTTCTGTATTTGAGCCTGTGCTGCTGGTAGGCTGATACTTCTATAATGTATATATTTTCCATGGTAGATTACTGAAGGGATCTGTTTTCATTAGTGCTTTGCCTGTGGGAGTTTGCTATTAAATTTATTAATGCAAGCAGTGTACAGAGTTACATCTCAAAGTAAATGCCTATCATTTTCTGTTCCTTTTTTTTTTTAATCTTTAAGATACTGTTTCCCTTTTGGACGTCCTGAAGGAGCTTTAAAAGCCACGCTTTCATTACTTGAAAGGGTAAGTTGGACAATATATTTTAGTTCTGCCTGAGTACTAAGCTTGCTTTTTTTTCTTTTGCCTTCAGGCCAACTGAAAGCAGACTTGTTTCTACTTTGGTATTCTACTACTGGTTATAGTTGTTGTGTGCTGGGAGGTTTGTTTTTTATTTCTCAGCATTTTCCAAAGAACCAAACAGCTGTTCTCTGTAGGACACATTTCTTGGACTTCAAGCCATTGTAGTTAAGCTTCTTTATGATTTAATGATTACCCAGCATTACACCTGAAGTAATACAAGTCAAGTCTACTGCCCTTCTTTCCCTGCCACTGTTGTTGTTGATAGTGATATAAACATTAAAAACCATCTATATAGTCAAAACAATCATCTATGATTGTGTAGACTGAGTCAATGTGAGAAGAAAATGCTATGTGTGCTGAAACTGTCATGAGCCATAAAGTTGCACATAGCAAATCCTCTTCTACTGCCTGGAAGGACGAAAGCCTTGCAATGGTAAAATCATCTGTCTTCTGTGAGGAAAGAAAATATAAAATTCCAATAGGGATATCAGCGGACTTGTATCAGCAGGAGTCTGAGGAACATAAGAATGGAAGAAAAGCTTAGATCCCATTTGGATAGTCCTGCCAAAATCTGAGAGGTTTAGTCCCAGGAAGTCAGCCATTTTGCAATGCAAAAACTCTGTGGATGGAAATTCTGTCTTATATCTCTGCCATGTTCAGAAACCTTCTATATGTTTTATTTATTACTACTTAGAATCATAGAATCAGAGAATCACCAAGGTTGGAAAAGACCTAAAAGATCATCCAGTCCAACCGTTCACCTATTCCCAACAGCTCCCACTAAACCATGTCCCTCAACAACATCCAGCCTTTCCTTGAACACCCCCAGGCTCGGTGACTCCACCACCTCCCTGGGCAGTCCATTCCAGTGCCTGACCACCCTTTCTGAAAAGTAATACTTCCTAATGTCCAGCCTGAATCTCCCCTGCCGTAGCTTGAAGCCATTCCCCCTGGTCCTATCACTAATGACACGAGAGAAGAGGCCGACCCCCAGCTCACTACAACCTCCCTTCAGGAAGTTATAGAGAGCAATGAGGTCTCCCCTGAGCCTCCTCTTCTCCAGGCTGAACATTCCCAGCTCCTTCAGCCTCTCCTCATATGGCCTGTGTTCCAGACCCCTCACCAGCTTTGTTGCCCTCCTTTGAACACGTTCCAGGGCCTCAGTGTCTTTCTTGCAGTGAGGGGCCCAAAACTGGATACAGTACTCGAGGTGCGGCCTCACCAGTGCTGAGTACAGGGGAACAATCACCTCTCTGCTCCTGCTGGCAGCACTGTTTCTGATGCAAGCCAGGATGCCATTGGCCTTCTTGGCCACCTGGGCACACTGTCGGCTCATGTTCAGCCAAGCATCAATCAATACCCGCAGGTCCATTTCCTCTACGCAGTCCTCCAGCCACACCGCCCCAAGCCTGTAGCGTCGCCTGGGGTTGTTGTGGCTGAAGTGCAGGACCCAGCATTTGGCCTTGTTGAACCTCATCCCATTGTCTTCAGCCCAGCTCTCCAGCCTGTCCAGATCCCTCTGTAGGGCCTCGCTACCCCCAGGCAGATCCACACTTCCAGCCAATTTGGTGTCATCTGCGAATTTACTGAGGGTGCACTCGATGCCCTCATCGAGGTCATCAATAAAGATATTGAAGAGGACAGGCCCCAGCACTGACCCCTGGGGAGCACCACTCACGACCTGTCGCCAGCTGGATTTGGCTCCATTCACCACCACTCTCTGTGCCCGGCCCTCCAGCCAGCTCCTTACCCAGCCAAGAGTGTATCCATCCAAGCCTCTGGCTGCCAGCTTCTGCAGGAGAATGCTGTGGGAGGCAGTGTCAAAGGCTTTGCTGAAGTCTAGGTAGACCACATCAACAGCCTTTCCCTCATCCACCAGATGGGTCACTAGATCATAGAAGGAGATCAGGTTGGTCAAACAGGACCTGCCCTTCATGAACCCATGCTGGCTGGGCCTGATCCCCCGGTTATCCCGCACATGCCGCATGATCTCCCTCAAGACGATCTGCTCCATAACCTTCCCTGGCACCGAGGTCAGGGATACTGAAACAGGGAATACTTCTGACAGTATTCACATTTTCTCCTTTACACAGTTAAAAAATCAGTGGATTTGCAATGATGGAAATTTTTCCATAAGTGAGAACCAAGCAATTTCCACATTCACATGTTTAGTGGATACCAGGATCCAAACCGTCCGGGGAACACTCTCATTGCACTGTTCATGGTGTCATCCAAAGGATCGCTGACTGACATGCTTCAAGATGCCAAACAGTGGAGGTAGTCTTGTATAGCATATAAATACAATACAGGCAGTCAAACAGGATTGAAGAGAAATCTTCAAAAGCAAATACTCAGTTCCACCAGCTGAAATAGTTCCTTTTTGATTAATGCCTTCAACAGTTATCAGCTCTGAAGTAACATTACAATACTTTTATCCTTTTCCCATGGGTTTTGAGTAATGAGTGTAACCAAGTGGTATAATTGTCTATAATTGTCTCTGGCACAGGTTTTAATGAAAGACATTGCCACTCCCATACCAGCAGAAGAGGTGAAGAAAGTGGTCAGAAAATGTCTGGAGAAGGCTGCCTTGATCAATTACACTCGACTTACAGAATATGCCAAAATAGAAGGTTAGTACAGCAATCAATTGCCAAAGTGGCTGTAAAAGCCAACAATGCCTATTAACTGAATATTCTGTGAGCAGCCTTTTCCCTTTCCTGAACAAACCCTTTCCACAGCAAGGGGAAATGTCTCATTAAAATCTCAGCTGGTGAACTACGGAGCTTTTTCCTATTCATTGCTTTAATATGCCTCCTGGGACCCTGTTTGAATGGAAGACCAGGACTTCTTAATTTAAGTTGCCCTTTGTTCTCACTTTTGAGTTTTCCATAAATCTAAAAGGTTGTTTATGGATTATTTTTTATTTCCCTTTTTCTAGCAATTAAACTACTGACAGGAAATTCTTTCCTTATCAACAGTAACAGTACATTGAAACTTGAAAACTCTGGATATAGATGTCTTTCTGATGTATTTATAAGGCTGACAGATAAGTGTTATTTATTTATGTCATTGTGTTGTCAGATGTATGATAATAATCTGATATTTAAAATCTTAAATACATCCTGATTTATTGAATGAACTACATCAGTAGTTTATTTTCTGGAATTTCCATGTATTCTGGAACACATTGCGGTGAAATTAAATTAAGATTTTTCTCAACAAATTGGCTAGGGTGCACAGAATCATTTAAATACTGTACGTAAGTATGTAAACCTTATGGAGAACAAAAAGGAAGTCACAGTAGTGAAATGCTTAGTTAAGATCTGCTCCATAAAGCACAGAAAGTTACGTCTGTGCAAATATATTCAGGAGTAGAAAACAACGTGTTTGCATCTATCTAACTGTTTCTTTGGAGGCACTGTCAATTAATAGGAAAATAAATGAAAGATAGATTTTACTAAAAAAATCTGTTTGTTATGAATAGTAAGTTTTTCTCATAGCATGTATTTCTAGAAATACACTAGAATAAATAGAGTTATCATAATAGCAAAATGAAGCCTCATATCTTCTGCAATACTCTAAAGTCAACTTTTTTTTTCCGTTTTCCATTTCTGTTTAAATTCTCTGAAAAACATGAGTTAACCAATCTCACACATGATAAACAAAAAAACCTATCTCATCACTATAGCAACCAGTATTAGATCATGGGAGTAACAACATGAAACCAGTTCATCATAATTAATTATGATACCACGTTGTGTTAAAGAAAGGAGGCTGAATATTAAATCTATTCCGGAAGATGAAAAAGCAAAAGTATGATTTCCCTTATTTTTGTCTTTCCATATTTAAAATGGATTTTCTGGTGCTCAGTATTTGTCTCTTAGTAAACCTGTTAAAATAATTGGTAAGGAAATGGAAACATTATATAAGATGACAAAAGTTTGCAAAATATATCTTAACTCTCTGACACTAAACTGGATTGGGAAAGTTTTTTTTTTAACCATGAAATGAATACATCTTTTGTCAGGATTTTTAACTAGATCCTGGAGAATGCTACCAGTTTCCGTGTAAGTAGCAAATTCTGCCCCTTTAAATATACATATTGTTAATACTGCACTAATCTGGAGTGGCAGATAACACTGAAGTCCATTCCATAGCGTATTTTAACTTGCTTATTTCTTTTTGACAAAACTAGGTTTCTGTTAAGTATATTTACACTCATGTTATCCCAAAATACAATTGATAATTGCATACAGCAGTGTAGTACATCAAGGAAAAAAGTGTAAAGTACTTTTTCTGAAAATAAAATAGAGTAGAAAGTAAAGGGCTCTAACACCATAACATGAGAAAAATAAACACCTTTGTCTTCAGTAGCAATGGGGCCTGTATTTATCTTTTCCTATACTGAATTTATAATAAACATCTTACATTTTTACCAGCATAAATGCAATAGTTTTCATTCTGTCATTCAGGCCTATGGGAGAATTGCTGCACCTCAGGCACTGAAATGTTCTTCTCTTAGAAGTAATTCATGTTTGCATTTGCATTAATTGCTTACTCCTCAGATTGCATTTTAAGAGCTAAAAAAGAGAGAAGACAATGCATTGTATGAGCATCTCTGCCACAGTCAGGAGTGTCACTGCTGTACTCAAAATTCTTTTTAATTCCTTATTTGGTATCTATTCTATTGTCATGAAATTAAAACAGTTTTATTTCTGCAATGATGTTTCTTTCTTCTTTTTTGGTTTTCTTCTTTTTTTTGTTTGTTTGTTTTTAATTTGTTTGTTTTATATTTAGCAACAGCAGAAAAAGACTCAGGTGATTACTATTTGTGTGCATGTCTGCATGTGATTTAGTCTGTTGCATGTGTTGTTTTTTCATTCTGCTGATTTCAACAATACCAAGATATTGACCAGAGCATGTACAAGCCTTAAAATTAGTCTTGGTGTAGTGTCCATGTGTTCATCATTTACACTGTTATTTAAGTATGGCATGCGTATTTATTAGTAATTTAGGTGATTTTATTAACCTCTATCTTTTGGAATGTTGAAAAATTTAGTTTCTGTGAAAGATGTAACTAAGAGATGCTGACAAGTTTGGCTCTTAAATTCATAATGAAGGACTTTATATGAGAACTCATCTGACAAAGCTTGTTTTACATCATGCTGATATGATTCTGTTTAGTGGTATGTTTATTTTTCTAGTTACAGGTGAGGTTTGAGAGCATGTTTGTTCTTTGTGTTTCTGATTCCATGAGTCTGATATTGTTTCTAGTAATGCAGAGAGTTTTTTGAGTGTTTTTATTCAAAGAGTTACAAAAAGATCAAAAAGGGCATGGTTGAAATATTGTCTCCATAAAGACTGTGTAGAAATGACTATTCAGGTGTGTGATAAAGTCCTAGTGGCTGCATGGAAGTATGAGGGATTGCAAATATTTATAGAATTTAGAATAGAACAGAATGGAAATAATAGCTATGCACACTTCTGCTTTACCTTTTTTAAAGCCTGGTGATAGTGCTTTTTGGTTTCCAACCATGGCTATGGGAAGGGGCATTGAGTTGGTAGCGTTCCCAGCGTAAAATCATTTTGTGTCTAGAAAGACACACTGGTGACTTTAAAGTTGTTCAAAAGATAGTTGAAAACAGAGCTCCTTGACAGTGACGGACCTGAAGGGAGAAAGGCAGTCCATTTCTTAGTTCTCCATTCTCTGTAAGAGGAACAGCTTCCATGGCCAGTAATCAAGCAGAAAACATTATCAAATTATAAAGATTACATTTTTAAAAGTTAGTATTCATTCATGGAACAGATCATCCTGGATGACATGCTTGATCACATGAGGAATGAACGTGTGATCCGAGACAGCCAGCACGGCTTCACCGGGGGAAGGTCATGCTTGACCAATCTGATGGCCTTCTGTGATGGAGTGACGGCATTGGTGGATAAAGGGAAGGTGACCGATGTCATTTACCTGGACTTGAGCAAGGCCTCTGACATGGCCCCCCCCACCACATCCTTATCTCCAAATTGGTGGGATGTGGATTTGATGGGTGGACACTCGATGGATAAGAAACTGGTTGAAAGACTGCAGACAGAGGGTGGTCATCAATGGCTCTATGTCTAGGTGGAGGCCGGTAATGAGCGGCGACCCAGGGGTCTGTCTTGGGACCGGTGCTCTGTAACATCTTTATCAGTGACATCGATGACGGAATCAAGTGCACCCTCAGCAAGTTTGCTGACGACACCAAGCTGAGTGGTGGAAGAAAAAGATGCCATTCAGAGGGACCTCAGCAGGCTGAAATGGTGGGCCTGGGTGAACCTAATGAGGTTCAACACAGCAAAGTGCAGAGTTTTGCACTTGGGCTGGAGGAATCCCAGGCATCCATACAGACTGGAAGGAACAGTCCTTAAGAGCAGCCCTGCAGAGAAGGACCTGGAGGTTTTGATTGATGAAAAGCTTAACATGAGCCAGCAGTGTGCCCTTGCAGCTCAGAAGGCAAATGGTATCCTGGGCTCCATCAGAAGAGGGGTGGCCAGCAGCGACAGGGGGGTGATTGTCCCCCTCTACTCTGCTCCATCTGGAGCACTGCATCGAGATCTGGAGCCCCCAGTACAAGAAAGACAGGGAGCTGTTGGAGAGAGTCCAGAGGAAGTCCATAAAGATAGTCAGGGGACTGGAGCACCTTCCCTATGAGGACAGGCTGAGGGAGCTGGGCTTCTTCAGCCTGGAGAAAAGAAGGCTGTGAGGTGACCTCATTGCAGCCTTTCAATACCTAAAGGGAGCCTACAAACAGCAGGGGAGTGAACTCCTTGAAAGGGTTGATAACAACAGGTTTTAAGTTGAGGGAGGGGAGATTTAGGTTGGATGTCAGGGGGAAGTCCTTTACAGAGAGAGTGGTGAGGTGCTGGAACAGTTTGCCCAGAGAGGTTGTGGATGCCCTGTCCCTGGAGATGTTCAAGGCCAGATTGGATGGGGCCCTGGGCAGCCTGGTCTAGTATTAAATGTGGAGGTTGGTGGCCCTGCATGTGGCAGGGGGGCTGGAGATTCATGATCCTTGAGGTCCCTTCGAACCCTGGCCATTCTGTGATTCTGTGAAGTGCAGCTTAGAAGTCCAGTGAATATATAACTGAAGAGTCTGAAAATTCTCATGATTCCTAACACTTCCACTGATTTTCATTTAAAAGGTTTAAATACCATGGAAACAGAAGTGTTCCAATCAGAGTTGTTAAAAAAGGAAAAAGACAATGTAGTGATACAGGCATTTCTGCCACTGCCTGTTAGAATGAGTACACAACCAGGTGATCCTCTGATCCCCCCTGACCAACAGGGAAAGGACCTTTAAGCAGGTGTTCCTGAGCACTTGGAGGCTTCTTCAGGAATGTCTCTGTGAAAAGATGGGTTTCATACTATCAAAAACAAATATACCTTAAGAGAGGTTCTCTGCTAGGTAAGACAACTAAAACTAGATAGTACAAATATTCCACTTACTACTTCAACTCATGCAGCTGTTGAATAAAATGTCTCTTCAAATGAGAAATGTAGGAAGTGTTGAATCTGTGAAAAGAGGAAACTCAATTTGGAGTTTGTCTGGTATGACATTTGTGCTCCAAAATCTCAGTTGTACACTTTTAT